GATTTATATATATATATGTATGCAGAAATTTAAAAGGAGAATGTCAGGGGCCTTGTACTTATTTTTTTTGCCATTCGCGTCCGACACATTAAGTCGTGTTCGTTTCTTACAATTGCCCAAAATGTAAATAGTAAAAGAAAAGTAATCCTCAGAAGGTGCAAGTGTGAATGCATAACTCTTTGCAAGTATTTATACATCAGTGTTTTGATTGAATATAACAATCTGCTAAATATATATTCACACACGCTTGCTGCAGTATCATCAGTATCGACTACACAGTACGACAATCTGATCAAACAGGATGAGGAAACCATACTCACTTGCGACACGTATCGTGAAAGGTTTTGTCTCTTTCTGCGTTTTCCAATTCCCAGTATCTTTCCACCGAGCTTTGTATGTACGAATGTACGCATGCTCGGTCAACGTTATTTAACTGGCCCCAATCTTTAAGCAGGAACCCGTTGGAAGCTAAGCATCTGAAAAACATGTATATGAGCAGAAGGTGAGGGAATACAATTTGGACTCTATGTACGACAATAGGTCATCGCAACAACAATCCAAACCGGAACGTATCTATCATTGTACAATAATGTCTGAGCGTGAATATGTACCTATCGAAACATGTCATTGTAATTTTAGGTCGCAATATGGGATAAATTGACCGAGAGATGCAAAAGAAGTTTCAACAAACCTGTAAGATAGATTGTCAGAATTGATAGACCAACGGATCAAATCTTCTCTGCTCAGACATCCGAGTACTGACGCGACTACCTACATAAGAAGGGGTATTGGGGACTTTGTTCACATGGGCGACGATAAGCCAATATGAGACAAAACAACCAATACATGGCACCTCACATCGACACCATCAAGATTTAAGTTGTTATTTGAGTGATGCTTATAAATATACCTTCAGGTTAAAGTCTCAACTTTGTCAACTAGATGGGTACATACATAAAGATAATTAAAAGTCCTGTAATGATAACACTTCGCGACCAGTCATCTGAAAACAAAACTACAGAACGATAGCAACGAACAACAACATGTAGCCGATGCTTAGTATTTTAAGTTCTTCGGCGAGATCGACATATCACTAACCCTAGCATAAACTTTACGCCCGGACAGGTTCTTGCTGCAAAAAACCGTACTTTAGAGTATCCCGCATGGCAAAAATGGCTTATAATTCAGCCCCGATACACGCAACGACATTTGATAAGCAGCGACACTAGTATACTGTGTTACCAGACTATACTTGTTATCTCGAATTTGAATTGAAGGCAAAGACCACTTTCGGGACCAAATGTAAAATAGAATGGATATGAATGTACTAGGCGTCAACGTTTTAAACATACTCCAAGGTACATACACTTGGATCCATCCTCCTGAATTTTGAGATCCTCAACTCACGGCCTAAGACAAAGAGTATGCGCTTCTGCCGTTTCCTCAGAAATTTTATCAACCACCGTTTGATGAAACTACCAGCAATGATTACTTTGGCCTGCAAAATAAAATACGATACATCGGCGTACATAAAATAATCTTTTGTCGATAGTGGAGCCAGGGTCCGCGACCAGATGCTATTTGAACACACTACACTTCCGCCCCAATTTACTTGACACGATTGAAAGTCTCTCCCTTGTAAGTTGCCAATTCCTGAACAGAACAATCTCTGCGTATTCACCGCATATATGCTATTCAGGGGTATACAGTTCACAATACCTGTAATGGTGGCAGAGTGTTACACAACACTGTGTTGTCGATTGCCGATACGCCCTGCTTCTGTGACACGCCGCCAAACTTGACTAGGTCACTGTCTCTGTTGGATACTTTTTTTTGCCTCAGGACACGCGTTTTCCCATCCACTATTGTACACGTATCATCAGCGCTCTTCGACACAGGTATACTGGTGTAGTTATATGCACTAACACCAATCAGCTCGCTCACGTTGATGAACCACTAGTCGGTCACACAATATGAAATGGAAAGTGGAAGGCAATTCGATCAAAATGTGAGGAATTTCAGAGAACAGGTGCCAACGTTTTAGATCGAAAGCCGATGGTCGAATTGATCACCCTGACACTGACTAGATCAAACAAAAGACTACACGGATCTATTCTCACCCGAGCAAATATGTACATTGACACGTTTTGCAAGTACTATCTGAGTGGCATATTGGGGATCACACATAGTGGTATATAGTAGGCTATAGGTACAGTAGTATATAGTAGGCTATAGGTACGGTGGCATGTCACCAAACTGTTTCGCAGACTTATTTACATGCTATGTAAACAAATTATCTGCTTCCACAAGGTTGCGATACACTTTGGGATCAAAAGTCTAGAGACGTGACGTTTGAGATATGTCACTTATGGCCGAAAAAAATTTAATATGAATATAATGATAGTAGTTTAGATAAAGCATGCAAATGCACATGGTACGCTTTAGCATGGGCAAAAACTCATGGCCTATTATGGTAAATTATCCAAAGAACCACAACATCAGACCGTGAAACAAAGACACATTAGCACGAATGAAATATTGCCTCACCCGATATACGGCGCATATGTTGCCGTGCCCTACCCCGTACCACTCTTCCGTAATGGTGAAGTTCATCTGGGCCAGCGTTGGTAGATCATGGCCGTGCACAGGGAATCTCGAGCCTATTTGATAGCCAGCATGCACACGCTGCTCTGCCAAGCCGCGTAGTGTGTTGAGTTCTTCGATAAACGGCATCCATCGCTCGACAATGAATCGGGTTCTGAGCACCGGCCCTTGATCACATATGCGGCTACTACGCACAGCGTTGTGGAATGATAGCCGTCGTATTCCTGAGAAGTACAAAGCGTGATGCTCAGCATAGAGGTCGGGTGGGGACATACCGAGTTTTGCCCAAAGAGTAACCACAGATGGAGGACTCCAGTTCGACTCGGTATCATTAACTCTACACAGTAAGTGCTCGTAGGCGATAAGTAACGATACGATGAGTATGTACAGCACAGGGCGGCAAGAATGAAATGTGTTGTGTTGTATTCTTCCTGATTCGATAGATGAGTGGCATACAAGCTGCTAGCTTGCGATTTCCTGATAGCTTGTATATAGCTGAACAGTTCATACCTACTCCTATTCAAACTTGAGGACTTGAGAGTGAAACATCAACTGTTCAGCATCCGAACGTAGAGATATAAGCGTCAATATAGAGTTTAACATACCTCTTACCAACAAGTCGCATGATAGGTCGCCATCCCGGTCTTCATCATCGATGTATGTATCCACGTCATCGTCACCCAGAACCTCTTTGTTGTCACTAGCTTCACTCGGAGAGCTCTCCCTCTCGATATTCGCATTCAGTTCGTGTGCCGATTTCCAAATATTAACTGCATATACAAACATATACATTGCGAGTCAATAGTTGGAATCCAATGCATGACATGCGAACACATTGGGGTTACCCTCGATCGTGTGATTTACAATACCAAATCACACTGGACACGCTTCATCCATCTTGAACAAAGAGCTGTTGCTTCTTGTGAGTACACAAGCACATTTGTATGTCCGCACAATACCATGAAACGACTCAACATAGGTTTTGAGAATGTCATAGCAAGATCACGCGGACGATATATATATATATATATATATATAATAATATATATATATATATATATATATATATATATATATATATATATA